CTGGGGAGCTGGAAGCTGAGAACTGGCGACTTTCTAGTACAACTTTAGTACGCGGAGCAATCTGTGGAGCTTGAAGATGAGAACTGGCGACTGTGTAGTACAACTGTAGTACGCGGAGTAGCTGGGGAGCTGGAAGCCGAGAACTGGCGACTTGGTAGTGCAACCAACGTTAGTAGCGGAGTAGCTGGGGAGTGGGGAGCTGAGAACTGGCGACTTGGTAGTGCAACTTGAGAAGCGGAGTAGCTGGGGAGCTGGAAGCTGAGAACTGGCGACTTTCTAGTACAACTTTAGTACGCGGAGCAGTCTGTGGAGCTGGAAGCTGAGAACTGGCGACTTTGTAGTACAACTGTAGTACGCGGAGTAGCTGGGGAGCTGGAAGATGAGAACTGGCGACTTGGTAGTGCAACTTGAGTAGCGGAGTAGCTGGGGAGTGGGAAGCTGGCGACTATGTAGTACAACCTTAGTACGCTTCATTCCAGCTTGCTTTTTTCAGTGAGATTTCCTGCTTCTCCCCGTACCAGCAGCCCAAATGCTCACGACGATGAGCTGGGCTGTCACCTGTCACCCCTTGGCCGCCGGTGGGGGGTTTGGGAGACTGCGCGGTAATTCGTTCACTATATGTACAGTGAAGACCTTCACCAGCCAGGGAATCATACACACACACATCACACACAGAGACCCATGCACTGCCTCAACTTACTCGGACACACACACAGACAGAGACTCATATACACACGGACATATATACACAGACAGAGACCCACACACTACCTCAACTCACTCGACTTAACACTTCACACTGCACACTTAACAGATAACTCGCACTCTGATTTCCTACGTGATGAAAAATGCTTTCGGGCCACTCGTCGTCTAGTTCATTTGGGAATGCGTAGAACCCTAAAACTCGGAATTCAACCTATTTCCATAAACTTGATGTCCCGTTTTTCAATATCAAAGTAAAATGTTTAAATCATACAGTTTTCTGTTTTTCGACCCAAACAAGGCTGGAAAGAGGACAAAGCCAATCTCACATGACGAAGTCCTGTCCGACAAGGACTTGAAGGGCCGCTGCCTAAGGTCAAGAGCAGCGTACTGCGACAAGAATCGCGGCAATGGGGAGCTCAAGGCAAAGCGCCGAGTTGTGGCATTGGGTCGCACAGACCCTGACTTGTTCTCACTAGGTCGGCTCCCACCCCTGGAAGTACGCCATGATGGTAGCTGGCTGATTACAACGGTCATTTGGCCGACGCATCACGCTGGAGGGCATGGCTTGGAGATGCCAGCGCAGCTTGCCTCCAAGGGTCACAGCCAGACGATGAAAGGCCACTTGTGGCCTCCCAAAGGTCCACTGATCGACGTGACCAAACGTTGGAAAAGCCGCCTCTACGGCTTGAGCTCTGGTGCACCGAGATCGTGACCAGACTGAAGTCCAAGCAGTACCAGAGGAATCGATATGACCCTATGCTCCAACAACGAGCTCGTCTCAGCCATTTTGGTTTAGAGCGAGCCTGCTTTGTAGTAGCTTTGACGGTGCGCCAACCCACGTTTGTCAGAGATTCAGAAACTTGCGATTCTGAAACTACAGAGTGTCCCGATTCAGAAACTCACGTCAGAAACTGGGGGGGGGGGGGTGGGGTGGGGATCTAATGAAAGCTTTGTGTGGATTGTCGATGTAGCGTGGACATAATCAATATTCGTATTTCACAGACTCGACTCAAAAACTATCCGATTCAGACCCGCTCCAGTTTCCGAATCCTAGTTTCCGAATCCGCGCCGTGCCTAGTTTCCGAATCCGTGGCCACCCTAGTGTCCGAATCCGCGGCTCTAGTTTCCGAATCCGCCGTTGACCTTACGAATAGGTTTTTGATTATGCTGCAATTCACGGAATATGTTTCATTGATATACTTGTACATCAGATGAGAGTCGTCGAAAAAGAACACATAACAGGATTTAGTAGCACGATGTGGTTTATTGATAGCAGGCGGTCCAATACCTGCATCGCGCAAGACCGGCGCAAGGTTTTGCGCAAGGGCTACTTACTAGTTACCAAAATTTCTACGAAAACTGTTGTTCCTAGTCTTAACCGGTTTAAGACTTTAAGCAAGTTTCAGAATGTTTCTTGTCTCCACAATGCACGTCTTAGGGTAACTCCTTCAGAATGTGGCCAATACAGGATCAAAATCTGCGCAAGGTTCATCAAGGTTCGCACAAGCTCCACGCAAACCCGAATGCGGGTAGAACGGGACTGGCCATGTCGACTTCTCTGAACCAGTTGTTGTTTTTTAACTCTCCGCTCGTGATAGCGGTTACACACCCATGAAAACAGGCAAAACGAAAATTCATGTCAACTGAAACTTTAGTTTTACGGTGCAGTGTTCGCGTAAGATTCGCCCAAGGCTGGCGCAAGGATAGTTTTCGGGAAGTTGTATTTTGGACAACGCCCAGATGAAAATCTGAACCTGTGGCAATGCGCCATATATTCCTGAAATAGATATTACTAGCTTTTTCTTCTTTTGAGTTACATCCTGTTCTTTGATAGAACTGCAAGTAAATATACCGGAACCACTTCCTAATCATTCTGAGGTTTGACATGAAGCCATTCACGGCACGACGAATAGTTTTTCTGCAGGGACACCTGCTGCCAGCTCCTCCTGCGGCTTCAATGCAACCTGTCAGAAGCTTAGCGCCTTTGGCAATCTCTTTCATGGCCTTTGAGAGTCTTTTACGACCATTCAATGGTTCGTATAACCTTTCTGGTGGTAGGGTGTACCCGGAGCTCTGACCTTTTCCTTCGTGGAAAACGCATTTGGTCCTGCTGGGCAGATGAGTCATGCTTCTTGATTGGATTGAGATTTGGCCCTACAGGACGCAGGAAATTCTCAGCTCGCATCATTTTCGGAGGCTTGCAACCTGGAGAATTATTTGACATATAATTACCACAGATACCCGAGAGTAAATGAAGCTCTTCAGTGCAAGCGCTTGTGATGAGGAGCCAGATGCCCTAGGAGCGTCCGCAATCCAACAGCAGTTGCTGTACATGCAACAGCTGCGTGACCGCAAATAGCATAGCCAGGGACTGTGGCATGAAAGTCAGCTCAAACAGATACTCAGATACTCCTTAGCGCTCCAAGATTGTGGTGCTATGTGCAAACCTGTTTGCAATAGCTTCGAGTGATTCGGTGTTGCAAAGCCGCCTTACTGCAACCTGATTGTCCGCTTGCTTAGGTATCAGCAGATGCTTGTGAATGGGTATGATGCCGGGCTGGGCGCCTCAATCCGATAGTGCCTTTTGCCAAATGCGTTTACAAAGTTTTGGCATTTTTATTAAATGCGCTTAGTGGAATCCCTCGAAGAAGGATGTCGAAGACCCAATATGGCTTCCGAAAAGAGCGCTCCACAGCTCAGGCCCTTTTTACAGCACGAAGGTTAATGGATATCTCTGAGAGAAGGCACAAACCTCTCTTTGATCCTTCTAGATTGGGAAAAACTTGATAAAATAGACATTAATTACGCTGAAATATTATACGCAGATGATTCAGATGATACATTTCTGTTTGGGGCACATACTCACGCTTTGAATCTGCTATTGCAAGAAGTCCAGAGTGAATCTGCCAAATACAACACGAAACTTAACTTGGACATACATGGACAAATATGTCAATCTGACAATCAGCAGGAGACAATCTTCTGTACGTTTTCTCGATGTTTCTTTGGTTCCCAGGAAATCCTCGGCCATGTACGTAGGAGCCACTTTGAAGGATATGGTTGATAACCGCAAAGAAGTTCTATATAAGGCGCATTGGCGAAGCTACTGCGACAGCTAACCAACTAAAGCTTCTATGGTCCAAAGCACAAAGGCCTTTTGAATGGAAACTTCGAGTTTTTGACGCAGTTATCGTTAGCAAGCTTCTGTATGAGTCAGACACTGTACAACTCACAGCTCAAGAGCAGAATAGGTTAGATGCCTTCCAAACGAAAATGTTGAGACGGATACCTGGGGTTCCGCCTACCCACATCGATATGAACCAACCAAAAAGTTATAGATAGGCTCATACAGCAGTGACTATTTGCATACCCTGCTTTCCATCCGATGGCGCAATCGGACATGTATATATATATATACATATACACGTTATACACATATATTACGTGCCCACAGCAATGATCCCATGCGTGAAGTTCTGTTCCAGGCTGGAACTAACCATCCTCGAGTTGAACACCTTCGTCGAGTTGGAAAACCCAAAGCAAACTGGCTTTACGAGACATATGTCGACGCTTTTAGGGCCATCGATGCGTCCAATGTGTTTGATCCGCAGAATGCCGATAATTTGCAACAACGTCTTTCACCATTCAACAACGCGCGCAACTACGTCCTTCACCATTTGCAACAAGCGGTCGCTCATGACGCTTCGCATCGTCGAATATGTCATCGAATAAGTCATCGAATACCAAGTTCTTTTTGGTTAAGCGCCTCTCTGTCCTTCAACTACAACTTAGTTAAACACCCCTAGCTAGACCCCGACTCCGGCTAAGCCTCCAAAATGGAGCCTCGGAGTGTGTAAAGAGTAGGATGGTCTCAAGCTGGGCTACGCACAGCCCCTCGTCAGAGCTGCGTTCGCGAGAGAGAGCCACCGTAGACCGCGAACAGGTGGGACAACAACGAAGCATTCCCAAGTCCACTTTTTGACACATCAACAAGAAGGGAGACAAGAAGCGAGACAAAAGGAAACAGAAGGGAGACAAGACGGACACAATGACCAACAAGAAGGGAAACAAAAGGAAACAGAAGGGAGACAAGACAGACACAGTGACCAACAAGAAGGGAGACAAGACCGGAGACAAAGAGGCAGAAGCTAAACAAGGTGGACACAATGACCAACAAGAAGGGGGACAAGACGGGACACAAAAGGAAACAGAAGGGAGATAAGACGGACACAACCAACAAGAAGGGAGACAAGGCGGACACAATGACCAACAAAGGAAGACAAGAGCGGAGACAAAGGGAGACAGAAGGGAGACAAGGCGGACAACAAAAAGGAAGACAAAAAGGGAGACAAGACGGGAGACAAAACGAAACAGAAGGGAGACAAGGTGATCAACAAGAAGGGAAACAAGAAGGGTGACAAAAGGAAACAGAAGGGAGGCAAGACGGACACAGTGACCAACAAGCAGGGGGAGAAGACCGGAGACAAAAAGGGGCACAATGACCAACAAGAAGGGACAATGACGAACAAGAAGGGAGACAAAAAGCGAAACAACAGATATCAGAAGGGAGACAAGACAGACACAATGATCAAGAAGAAGGGAGACAAAAGGAAACAGAAAGGAGGCAAAAGCAAAAGAAGGGGGCGGACACCACCAGTGACAGAACTGGGAGACACATGAATAGAAATGTTGCACCGCCAGCGGAAAAGGAAGGACACCATTAGTGACAGACCTGAAAGACAAATGAATAGAAGTGCTGCATCGCCAGCGGAAAAGGGCGGAGACCACCAGTGACAGAGCTGGGAGACAAATCAATAGAAATGCTGCATCGCCAGCAGAAAGTAAGGGCGGACACCACCAGTGAAATGCTACATGGCCAGCGGAAAAGGGCGGACACCACCAGTGACATACCTGGGAGACAAATGATTAGAAATGCTGCATGGCCATGGGCAAAGGGCGGACGCCGCCCGTAACAGACGTGCGAGACAAACAAATAGACGTGCTGCATGGCCAGCGGAAAAGGGCGGACAGCACCAGTGGCAGACCTGGGAAACAAATGAATAGAAATGCTACATGGCCAACGGAAAAGGGCGGACGCCAGCAGCGACAGACCTGGGAGACAAATGAATAGAAGCGCTACGTGGCCAACGGAAAAGGGCGGACACCAGCAGCGACAGAAATGCTACATGGCCATCGGAAAAGGGCAGACACCAGCAGTGACAGACCTGGGAGACAAATTACACCACCGTAGACCCCAAACAGTTTGTGCTTTTCAAATCGAAACCAGAGCTTGCGACGTCCAGAGCTGGGAGACAAAGGATTGCGTACAGAGCGGGCGGACACATCTTAAGAAAAAATTGAGAAGCCCCAACAGCAAACCTTTTGGGGAATTATTCTTCAAGTGCGAACATGACGCTGGTCATGCTGCTCAATCAGCGGGGAGCTGACCACGTGAGGACAAGAAATACAAGCATGAGGAGCGAAGGATGTGACATGAAATTGATTTTTGGTGCCTGACGTATGCCCTCCGTCCCAGATCGCTGCCACGTCGCCGAAATCCAATCCGGTCATTCATCCAACGCTTGCCCGAAAAGGAAAACAAAGCTGAGAGAGTTGCACAGTGTGGCAGGAATGCAATCCCGGAGACAGTCACGCACCCCTTTCAAAGTAGCAAGAACCTTTCACAGGTGAACCTGTTCCAGCGGACAGAGCAGAAAACACCAGCGCAGCAAAAAGAAAGAAATCACATGGGAGACACATGAATAGAAATGCTACATGGCCAGCGGAAAAGGGCGGCAGCACCAGTGACAGACCCGGGAAACAAATGAATAGAAATGCTACATGGCCAGCAGAAAAGCCAGCGGAAAAGGGCGGACACCAGCAGTGACAAACCTGGGAAACAAATGAACAGGAATGTTGCATCGCCAGCGGAAAAGGGCGGACACCGCAAGTGACAGACCTGGGAGACAAATGATGAATAGAAATGCTACATGGCCAACGGAAAAGGGCGGACACCAGCAGTAACGGACCTGGGAGGCAAATGAGGTTGCCGGTTTATCGTTGTCGGTCGTTCTCTACCCCACAAGACCTGTGGTGGTAGGTTACATTCCCACCCGCCGCCAGGTATAGAAATGCTTCAAGGCCAATAGACAAGGACAATGCTTTAAAGAATGGTCGCCTTGGTGCTGGATGGTCTGGTCGGGTTCCCGGCCGGCTTGTCTCCCACTTCCTTTCATTTGTTTCCCAGTTCTTTTCATTTGTCTCCCAGGCTGGGTGCTTGTGGTCAGGTTCCCGGCTGGCTTGTCTCCCTTGCGTTTGTCTCCCACTTTTTCCCCAAACAGTAACATTTCTATTCATGTGTTTCCTAGGTTTGTCACTGCTGGTGTCCGCCCTTTTCCGCTGGCTTTTCTGCTGGCCATGTAGCATTTCTATTCATTTGCCTGCCACGTCTGTCACTGCTGGTGTCCGCCCTTTTCCGCTGGCCATGTAGCATTTCTATTCATTTGTCTCCCAGGTCTGTCACTGCTGGTGTCCGCCCTTTTCTGCTGGCCATGTAGCTTTTCTATTCGTTTGTCTCCCAGCCCTGCACTGCTGGTGTCCGCCCTTTTCCGTTGCATTTCTATTCATTTGTCTCCCAGGTCTGTCGCTGCTGGTGTCCAGCATTTCCATCTCCCAGGTCTGTCACTGCTGGTGTCCGCCCTTTTCCGTTGCCCATGTAGCATTTCTATTCATTTGTCTCCCAGGTCTGTCACTGCCAGTGTCCGTACTTTTCCGCTGGCCATGCAGCATGTCTATTCATCTCCCAGGTCTGTCACTGCTGGTGTCCGCCCTTGTCCGTTGGCCATGCAGCATTTCTATTCATGTGTCTCCCAGGCCTGTCATGTCCGCCCTTTTCCGCTGGCCATGTCGCATTTCTATTCTGTTTGGGGAATGAATAGAAATGCTACATGGCCAACGGCAAAGGGCGGAGGAAACAGAAGAGTGACCAACAAGAAGGGGAACAAGACCGGAGACAAAGGGAGACAAGAAGGGACAAGGCCGACGCAATGACCAACAAGAAGGGAGACAAGAAGAGAGACAAAAGGAAACAGAAGGGAGACAAGACGGACACAGTGACCAACAAGAAGGGAGACAAGACCCGAGACAAAGAGAGAAAAGAGGGGTGACAAGGCGGACACAATGGCCAACAAGAAGGGCGACAAGAAGACAGACAACAAGAAGGAAGACAAGACCGGAGAAAAAGGGAGACAGAATTGAGACAAGGCGGACACAAAGACCAAGGGCCAACAAGAAGGGAGACAAAAGAAAACAGAAGGGAGACAAGGCGGACACAGTGACCCACAAGAAGGGACACAAGGGGAGACATAAGGGACGAGGCGGACACAATGACCAACAAGAAGGGAGACAAGCAGGGAGACAAGAGGAAACAGAAGAGAGACAAGACGGACACAGTGGCCAACCAAAGGGAGACAAGAAGTGAGACAAGGCGGAGACCATGACCAACAAGAAGGGAGACAAGAAGGGACAAGGCGGACACAGTGACCCACATGAAGAAAGACAAGACCAGGCAAAAAGGTTCATTTGTCTCTCATGTGATTTGCTTACTGTTGTTTCCCAGGTTCGGTGCCTGCGCTGCTGACATCCGCCCTTTCCCCTTTCCTTCCTTTGTCGCCCTTCTTGTTGGTCACCGTGTCCGCCTTGTCTCCCTTCTGTTTCCTTTTGTATCCCTGCTTGTTTCCCTTCTTGTTGGTCATTGTGTCCGTCCTCCCTTCTTGTTGGTCATTGCGTTCGCCTTGTCTCCCTTCTGTTTCCTTTTGTCTTCCTTCTTGTTGATCATTTTGTCCGCCTTGGCTCGCTTCTGTGTGCTTTTGTCTTCCTTCTTGTTGGTCATTGTGTCCGCCTTGTCTCCCTTCTTGTCTCCGGTCTTGTCTCCCTTCTTCTTGTCTCCTTTCTGTTTCCTTTTGTCTCCCTTCTTGTTTTCCTTTTTTGTTGGTCATTGTGTCCACCTTGTCTGCCTTCTGTTTCTTTTTGTCTTCCTTCTTGTCTCCCTTCTTGTTGGTCAGCTGGTGTCTGCCCTTTTCCGTTCATTTGTCTCCTCGGTCTGTCGCTGCTGGTGTCCGCCCTTTCTGGTGGTGTCCGTGCTTTTCCGCTGGCCATGTAGCATTTCCATTCGTGTGTCTCCCAGGTCTGCCACTGCTGGTGTCCGCCCTTTTCCAACCATTTCTATTCATTTGTCTCCCACAGATCTGTCCCTGCTGGTGTCCGCCCTTTTCCGCTGGCCACGCAGCATTTCAATTGATTTGTTTCTTTATCTCCACTGCTGGTGTCAATGGCCAACAAGAAGGGAGACAAGAAGGGGGAAGGGAGACAAGGCGGACTCAATGACCAACAAAGGAAGACAAGAGCGGAGACAAGGGAGACAGAAGGGAGACAAGGCGGACAACAAAAAGGAAGACAAAAAGGGAGACAAGGTGATCAACAAGAAGGGAGACAAAAGGAAACAGAAGGCAGACAAGGCGGACGCAACGACCAACAAAAAGAGAAACAAGAAGGCAGAGAAAAGGAAACAGAAGGAAGACAAGGCGGACACAGTGACCAACAAGAAGGGCGACAAAAGGAGACAGAAGGGAGACATGGCGGACACAAAGACCAACAAGAAGGGAGGCAAGAAGAGAGACAAAAGCGAACAGAAGGCAGACAAGGCGGACAACAGGAGACAAACGGGGACAAAAGGGAGATAAGGCGGACACAGTTACCAACAAGAAGGGAGACAAGACCGGAGACAAAGGGAGACAAGAAGGAAGACACGGCGGACGCAATGACCAACAAGAAGGGAGACAAGAAGGGAGACAAGGCGAACACGGTGACTCACAAGGAGGGAGACAAGACCGGAGGCAAATGCTACATGGCCAGCGGAAAAGGGCGGAGACCACCAGTGGCTGACCTGGCAGACAAATGAATGGAAATGCTACATGGACAGCGGAAAAGGAGACCTGGGAGACAAATGAATAGAAATGCTACATGGCCAGCGGAAAAAGGATGGACACCACCATTGCTACATCGCCAACGGAAAAAGGGTGGACACCACGAGGGGGACAAATGAATAGAAATGCTACATGGTGAGCGGAAAAGGGCGGACACCAGCAGCGACAAATGAATAGAAACGCTGCATGGCCAACGGAAAAGGGCGGACAACACAATTGAATAGAATTGCTGCGTCGCCAGCGGAAAAGGCCGGACGGCAGCAGTGACAGACCTGGAAGACAAATGGATAGAAATGCTACATGGCCAGCGGAAAAGGGCGGACACCAGCAGCGACGGACCTGGGAGAGAAATGAAAAGAAATGCTACATGGCCAGCGGAAAAGGGCGGACACCAGCAGTGACACAAAGCGCGGACACATCTTAAGAACGAATTGAGAACCCCTAACCGTAAACTGTTTGTTGAAAAAAGGGAGAGAGAGAGAGAGTGACAACACACTCTTGCAAGCGGCGGGCTGTGACCTGGAGTCCCAGTCGTGCTCTCTTTGGCTATCTGGGGAGTCCCACTTCTGTCGTTGCTGCCCTATTTCTCTCGCCCAAGAAAGCAACAAACTGATGTTCATGAGTTCAATCTTTGCGTACTTTTTGTTCAAAACATGCCCCATTCATTGAAAAATGATAAGACGCCCAAATCAAAACATGTTTGATATTTATGTCGGCCAGTCTCCTTCATACTCCGCGTTTGGTCTTGGTGTCTTCACTACTGGTGTTTGCTTGCACCGCCCTTTGACAACGAACTAAGCCGTGTCTATTTCACCTGGTTGATAGCAGTGAGTGCACATCATGATATCTAGGTCATGTTTGCTGATAGCACTTTTGTCGGTGTATTTCTTTGCATGTATCGGATCAATGTTTCATGGTTCTGAACAATGCGTCAGTGCGTTTATGGTCCTACCTTCTGCACATTATGTATCCAATGATGTCACGCAGCATGTCTGCGGCGTGGTTATTCTTCGTGTGGTATCCTTGTCGTTCTGTTCTTGGCAGCGTGTAACAAAAACAACTCAGAGGGGCAGCACTATGTTTTGCCTCTGGTGACACTATGACACCAGCCTGCCTGGCGCCTGCAAAATGATATCACATTTTCGATGAATCACATGCGTTGTGAGTTCATCCCTTTCTGGCACAAGGGTCTCTAGAGCGCGGTTTTGAAGACTGGATTTCCCACTAGGCTCGCACTAATATGGCGCTAGAGAATTTTGTTTTGGTATGAATGTTTTTGATAGTGTGTGTCAGTTGAGATCAGGCTGAATCCTGATTTTTGGCCTTATGCCTACACATGCTTTGTCAATGCGACTGCTGCTGCTTCTGTTGCTGGGTCCATACATGGCCTTGTGATATGGTTCTATCATGCAATGCAAAGATATATTTTTCGATTTTGAGTTTATATACATTGTTTGCATCGTGTTTGTTTGCAATTGGTTTCATTTCAGTCGTAGGTCCTGTTGATTCAGCTCAGCACGTTCCTACAGTGCACAAAAGGAGCGTTTGGCGGAACCAAAAATAAAGACTCCAAGTTCTTTTCTCTCCTTGCTCGCGCTGCTCGAAGCTTCCTGGTGCGCTAAGGTCATCAGCATCCATTGGCGGTGGGTTAGCGGGACAGGGACTTCAAAGTGCCTTGGCTTAGCACTAAGGGTCAGGATGGCCTGTCAGAAACTGCTTTCATGAGAGAAGTGGGCCAGGGCAGATATTTTTTGGCGCCCCGAAAGCATGTACAGCCATTCCAGTCGTTTCTTTAAACACTTGTTCCTTTGAGCCTTTCTCACAGGATGCTGCCTATTGACAGCACACTTCGCCTAAGTGGAGGTTTTCCGTGTGGTCAAAAACGAGTCAGCTTTCTAACGTCGTGGATCCTTATTCTTGGTTGAAGAACGCATGCAAAAGTAATGGTGCAAATTTTGAACTGGTACACTCTGGGTGTGACCGTGGAGATTTGTGAGGACACAACTTGAAACGTATTTGAGCGTCCAACAACACTTCAGTACAGGCGCTTTAGTAAGGAGCCGCCTTCAGTATTTCTGAAATGATCAAAACCTTGCGCAACTGATAGAAGCCAACCCTGTACAGATACCCTTCCTTGATTGAATTGGAAAAACGATAGGCAACCCAGAATACTTTTGGCATTTACGGACAAGAAATGTTGTTTGCCACACTCATATGTATTTATACAAGTAGGGCTAACGCCCTGGTGCTGCCGACCCCTTTTGGGCAAGGATGCGGAATCGAATGTAAAGGGCATGTCATTGGAACCAGAACTTTTGTCAAACAGAACTGGGACTTGGGTTTCTCAGGGGTGTGGGCAAAGACAACGGGCACATGCTGCGTGAGTAGTATCAAGGAAAGAGAACAACTCACAATAGCTCGACGCCTAAGTCAATGGCTCTAAGACGTTGGCAGCGCCTAACTGACGTTGTTTGGCCACAGCCTGCCCCATCTAATTCTGAGCGCAAACGGGTGCCAGACGCCAGCTGCCAGTCTCCACCGTCGCATGTGCAACCCCATAGAAAAACAAGCGCGGAGACCGCGCCCAGGCGATGGCCACAGACCGGCGCCGGGCATGGCCCAGGCGATAGCCAAAAGCATGTCCTGCTGAGCAACTGAGGCCATGAACGCGTAGGAGCAGCCCAGGCGATGACCACCTGCCCGGTCGAAAACCAAGCCTGCACTCTGGAGCCACCAAACGGGCTGGTCTCGCCACAGCCTTCCCCCATCTAATTCTGCGCAGACGATTGCCAAAAGCATGTCCTGCAAGCCTCTGCTGGGCAAAAGCATGTCCTGCGGAGCAACTGAGGCCATGAAAAGCCGGCAAAGCCTTGGACCATGCCAAAACGTCGGTGCCGCCACACCGAAACACCCTGGCCCTGAAGGTTTCAGCGGAGCAGGGAGCGACCCTTGCCACTGCCTGACGTCGCCTTCAAAACGCTGTAGAAAGAGGCGTCTAGGACGAGCCCCAGGGACCAGCACAAGCCCCAGGTAGCTTCCAAACGCTGCCTATGGCGCCACACCGAAACACCCTGGCCCTGAAGGTTTCAATGGATCTAGGCCAGCACCAGGGAGAGGTCTAGTCCAGCCCCAGACAAAAGCAGCCTATATGGCCGCCGGCAGGGACCAGGACAAGCGCCTGACCGCAATGACAGCACCGCTTCTCGCTACGCTGTCCCAGGCGCCGCTCCGCCTACTAGGCGTCTCTGCGCATATTTGTTCCTTCTTGTAACGCCGATGTTTTTTCATCACGTTCTATTTTGTCTCACCTGTGAAACTTATGTTGTTTTACTTCCAACTATTTTCTGATTAATTAAGCTTACCTGACTATTTTGATCCTTTCGATCCTTCTTGTTCTACCTCGCCTACCTCAGCATTCCTTCAGTGTTTGCAGGCAAGGCTCCTCGGGTCGGTTCTCATGTCCTTAGACGACGTGGCCTAATTGCTTGCCTGAGGCACAGTGGATGCAAGCAAAGCACTTGCAGAGCTGAATCATTTGGAGGACAAAGTCAAAGAGGCGGAAGAGAAGGTGAAGCGCGCAGCTTCGCAGCCGTTGTCCTAGTTAGCGCGAATGAGAGGGCGACCTGGCACTTTGATGGCCTACACTTAACGGAGTGAATGTAGTGATTCTTGCTGGCATACTTTCTTCGTCTTCTCAATTTGTGATACCACCCTGAGCAAGCACTGCATGGGACTCTTCTCAGCCTGTCCTGAATCCTACCAAAAATGTTTGTTGATAAAGTCCTGAAGAGGCACAGCAACAACGCAGCAGATGCAGTGCCGCAGTTGCCCGTGTGATGTTGGCAAAAAGCAAATTGTTGCAGCAGAGTCCAATGGTGTACACTGCTGGGTTCAAGCACAACCCATCGCACAATCGCTCACTCAACACTTACGTCGACGTGTCCCAAGTAAATCTACAGAAAGCTCCCCAAGTAGGGTCTAACATAAGTTTGTTCATGCTTTTAGGGGGAGGCCATCAATATTAGGGGGAGGCCATTGCCATTAGAGGTTTTATCTTTCATATTTTGTTCTTGTTTGTTGGTGCTTGTTGAGGAGTCCTCATCGGGTCAGATGCAACCGTCACGACACTGCACCTTGCAAGTCACCATCTTGGTCCAGTTTTGGGATCGTCATCGGTGCGCCAGGGTTTTGCACCAAGCCCGTTTAGCGCGTGAGACTCCTTTGTCACTTGAAGATCTTGGTGATGTGCTTCAAACTTGCGCAGGCAAGACCGCTTCAATATATTATATACATATATATAGCCTTCCTTCCAAATCAGGAGGAAAGCAAATCCTATTGCCTAAAAGGCTGGCGTGAGAAAACTACTAGTTCATAAAACAATCAACGCGCCTCAATCGAATCACTTGCATGACATGGGCTCAGTATTGTCTAGCGTTCATAGTGTGAATATTCACTGCTGACGGACGTTGTGTACGGATGGTGCATTCTGCTGCCATTTGGGTTTACAGTGCCCTTGAGCTGACCGTGCTGACGCACACGTGAAAACGCCATTGGACGACGCATTCGGGTTCATTTTCATATTGGTAGCGGAGCAGGTTCGGGGTTTGTCCCACTGCATCCAGGATAACCCGTAAAAGCCGATCCAGGATTTGTTCACGCATTCGTGCCGAGAATTTGCTACCAAGTGTGCTTGAAATTGCCCGTTGGGGGGTTGAGAGACAAGGAATGTCGGTCGCAGGACTTCGCTTTAATCCCGACAAGAATTCAGCAGGCGGTACTCATTTGGAGACCAAATCTGGTTCGTACATCTACTACGGTGACGCTGCATCATTCCATGATTGGGAGTTTCGCACACGCCTTCGCATTCGCCTGTGGAACGAAGGCAACAAACCGAAGGCAAGCTCCCGGAAAACCACGTCGTCCCCGAAAAAGAAGCAAGATATGCCCAACGAATGGAGGCGCTGAGGAGGAAGACGCCGAGCTTCCAGGCATCAGAAGAGGAAGAAGAAGAAGAAGAAGAAGAGGAAGAAGAAGAAGAAGAGGAAGTAGTCATCACCAAGCCAGACATCAGCACACTTGTGAACAAGATCCTCGAAGGTTTGCGTGGAGTCGGAGATGCCTTTTTGCTCGCCAGGGACGTCGGTCTTGATGCCCTGACCAGTGAGGATGGATTGGAAGACTTGTTGCAAAAGATGAAAGCTTTCGTATTCACGTGCCAATGAGGAGGCAAAGGACTTGTTCCGTGCTGGGAAGAAGCATGGAGGTCCTTTGTCACGCCAAGCCTGAGAGTCCATGCTGTCGTACACCAACCGACGCATGCGTTGGTGGTCCGCGTTGCAGGAATTGGATTCGACCATGATGCTGAGTGACAGTCTTCGCGCTGAACTGTTTGCTCGAATTGTCAGGTTTGTCACGTCAGGAGATCCTTGTGACCAAAGCACGCGCCACCCCAAGAACTTCGAAGGATATCGCAAGGTTCTCATTGACCACTATTCAGGAGTTCACCTCAGAGAAGGTGGCAAGACGTGGCAAGGCCGCTCTTCGCCCATGCCTGGGAAGGGCAAGAGCTATTCGAACCATTCAGGAAAAGGCAAGTCAACATATCGTTCTGCATATGTCTCATACCCTGAGGCAGATGAGCGTTCGTCATCGACATGGGAAACCATGGAAGAAACATTTGAGACCAACTTCGATGAAGGCGACTCCCACGCCTGGTTGGGAGATGGATTTGATGAAAAGGAAGAAGCGCAGGAGCAAGGGTTCGATTATATTGAAGATGAAGAAGAAGCAATTGCCCTGAACGCAATGGTGGACCTCAAAGAGGCCGACATCGCCAAGCAGGAGAAGCTATCCAGCTTCAGCTCGCTGCAAGGGCAAAGGTAAAGGTTTCAGCAAGAAGGGCTTCAAAGGCAAAGGCAAGGCTAAGGGCAAGGTTGTCCGTAGCCAGATGAGCATTGAGCAATGCCACGCCAAGACTTCAAGTCAAAGTGTCTTCGTTGCGGGGGCATTGGACATTGGGCAGGTGACCCTGCTTGCAAGTTTGCGAACAAGCCACAACCCTAGAAGCCTACTGCCCACCTACAATAATTCGTCAGAAGATGAAGGGTTTGCGTATGTAGGCGCAGCCACATCTGCAGCGCAGACCAATGCCGCCATGATGGCCTTTCGATCAGGAACAACTGGCAAGGGTTGGTGTCCCCGTCCGTCGCAGGCACAGTCGTCCATGGTTCGTGCAAACGACGCCACATCATCCGACTCAGGCGCCCGAGTGACACCGTCGTCGGTCGAGCGCCCCAATGGATTTGACACAGTGTTTCAGATTGGACAGTTCAAGGGGAAGACCTATTGGGTTGTTCTTCATCGACAACCCCAATTCTATGTATGGACAAAAAAGGAGTCTTCTCGTGTTCCCGGAATCCAGCAGTATGTGCAATGGGTTGACCAAATCTTTGATTTCAGGGGTGGAGAGATTTACCTTCGTGATGATGAACCTGTTCAACCACCACGGGATACACGATTCGTCGCACATGTTTGCGTTGCGGGCATGCCGCCGCCGGGAAAAGGGAAGAGAAACCACAATTCAAGCCTGAAGATTGCCCACATGAATCCACCGATAACAGGGGATCAGGTCGTTCGACTCATCGCGCGTGGCGCAAGCAATGATCAAGACGTTTTGAAACACCAGAAACAGTAGCTTGAGATTCTTCAAAGGTTTGGTCGAATCAGAATGCTCGTCGTCGCCTGATACCCTGACTCAGACTCGACATCATGAACTACTGCAAGAAGCCGCGTTCCAAGACCAGATCACGCTGGGGCAGGACCCAATAATCGCCTGGGGCCTTCGAGACCCTGAAAACATCGGATACGCTGCCGTCGAGACCAGTGCATTCGTGTTCCATTCAGGAGTGCGTTCAAGAAACCAGAGATGATGTGGTGCGAGGGAGACCCCAACACCTACGCCATTTTGGACGAGGCTTGCAACAGCACTTGCCATTCGCAATACTGGATGGAGACGGCAGAAACCAAATTCAAGCAATTGGGCTATGAAGTAGGCTGGGCGTCAAAAGAAGGCAAGGTTTTCTCAGGTCTTGGGAGTCAAGGAAACAAGTTGAACATGCAAGACGACCAAGATCCCATCCAGGAATCCATTCACCAATGCTTTTGTCACTTCACGAACAGTCCCATTAGGGCTAGTGAAGGATTTGGCAAAAGGCGCCATTCATATTGAAGGCCGACAGCTTCCCACCTGTCATTAGACTGGGGGACTAGTTGACGCCGCTCAGAACTTCCAGAAGGCGCCGAAATGTCATCGAAAGTTTCGCTGATGCTACATGGCTCGAAATGTCGCGTCAACATTCTCCAGAGCGTGGGTCGGGCACCGATCCAGCCATGAACGAATATGAGGAAGCGTTCATTGACCACAAGGATGCTCAGACAGCCATCGATTTGCGCCAGACTGATGCGCTGCTCGTCTCCAAAGGTGTGCCGGGTATGAACAGCCGCTTTGCAGAGGAGCTGTCGGAACAAGGGCGATTCTTCGTGTTGATCTTGGCAAAGTGTTTGATCCCTCTAGGGACAAGGAAATGATGGTCGCTCACGTGGGTAGCCACCCGCTGTCGTTGAACGAGATGAAGGAGCACATGTCCAATATCAAGGGGTTTATGCGACGGTAGGGCCAAGGAGGTTGCATTGTGGAGACGGGATGCAATGGAGGAAGACATCGTTCCGTAGGACAGGAGGTGCTTCCTGTGCTGCTGCAATCGCTGTGGAGTTGGGCCTCAGTGTCACCTTGGTACACTATAGAGCTCAGAGCACTGGAAGGAGATGAGGTGCGGTGGATCCTGCAGTGATTGCAAAGACGTCACTCGAGGCTTGGAAGTACGCAAAAGCTTTGGTTGGATCAACGTGTCTGCGCTTCCTGTTTCGTCACCTCACGTTGAACGCCACACTTCGTCGCGGAGAGCACCAACCCAGGCCATCGACCAAGATCATCCCTTGGGCCCTCGAGCATCGAGATACAGCAAGGGGTCTACTCAGTCGGAGAGATCTCAGAAAACGCCTCAGTCAGAAAGACCGCAGAAGACACCAGAGACAACCGAGGATCATTGCGAGACCTCGCCTTCGACTATTCATGGACGCCACGCAGAAGATGATCGTGATCGAAAGTTGCAAGAGCTGACTGCTACTGTTGAGGAGCTTGCCACCGTCATTGAACACATGTCAAAGAAGCAGTTGAAAACAGAACCTGTTGAGCTCAAGCCAAAACAGAGATCACGAATCACCAAGGAGAAGACGTCGTGACAGCCGAAGCAATTCGAGGGCCCCGCCAAGGGGCCGCCGTCGATCGAGGAGTCGACGAAATTCGAGACCAAGGAGAAGATCGCTAAAGAGGAGTCCAGTGAAGGTCATCCCTCATCCCACGACAATCCAGTGGACATCGCAACTTGCCGTCGCACCCCAGCGCGCCATCAAAGTCGATTGGAAAGACCGCAAGACCAATCGGAGCAGCACCATGGCAATAGTTTTCGGGTTCTCGCGGTCGCGCGCGTGAAGATCGCCGCAGCTATGACTATAGCTGGCAAGATGAT